TTTCAACATCATATTTCAGGGATTCAAGATGCAGCCTGAGATATCCCTAAAAAAGACACTCATAACAGTGCCCAATATGTGTGTACACAGACACACATGCAGGAGCTGGGCAAGAAATTTGCAGGAAGAGTTTATTAGAAGGATGCTGCATGTTCTGCCTAGCAAATGTCTCTGAAGAGAAGCAAATTTCTGAGAATCTGGCCATCACTTTGAAGTGATATTACAAATACCTTCTGGCTGAAGTTTGCAGTTTCCTTGGTGGCAGGTATAATGATCCTTGAGGTCCCTGGCTCAGCATCCTCGCTCCCATCGCCCTTACCATACTTCAGCATTACGGCAGGAGCAGGGATCACACAATACCTGTCAAAGACAGAGCTGCAGATTCCATCTCACAAAAAAAATTTGGCACACTGATTCTGCCCAAAACATCTTTTTTTTCCCCAAACTTGTTATGATTTGAATAGACAAGGTGGTACAAGGGGTCAGGAGGTGGAGGAGCAGTGTTGCTTGGCAATATGGGAGCTGAGATAGATCTATTTATGTCATAGCCAAATCAGTGGAAAGGGTCAGTACAAAATGGGTAAAACCCTAAACAATACCCAGGTAACCCTGGGTCTGGTGATGAACTAAAGCCAGACCTCTGGGACCTTGTCCAGCAACATGGCCAAAAGAACCTCCTCCTCCTCCCCTTGCCCTCTCTTTCTGCATGGTATGCTATTATCTGAGCCTGAGCTAGCTTTTATAGAAGGATGGTTGTCTCTTCAGTATGGGAGAAATCCCTCCTCCCATGTCCTCACTACCTGAAACCTTTCTAGAGTCAAACTGACTTGTAACTGAGAAGAGAATGGCTGGTCCAGCAGCAGTACAAAATATTAAAATATTATTTTTTTTAAGACAACTGATCAGTTTGGAGGTTGTAAAAGCAGGATAGACTTGCTACAGAGGTGCCACAGGAAAACAAAGGGGACTTGGGGGTGGTAGGAGTGTCCTTCAGATACACAGTTGTTGCAAAACATCATTCACTGGTTTCCTACTGTGCATCTGAGGTCTGAGGGACTGTAGGTCGGAGACAGAAAAAAAGGTTTACCTTTTAAACTATGCAAATGTGAGAAGGAGAGGTAAAAAAATGTGGACATCCTAGTGCCCCAGCTCCTGAGACAGTTTCGAAAAGAGCCACTGCTCTGCTGCTCCTGCCAGGGTGGTGCTGGATCCCACCACCACGCCCTGCATTCCTGGGTGCTGCCCCATTGTAAGACAATTAAAAACATGGCAGTTTCAGAACTTGGGCAGCCCCCCAGCATTGCCAGAGAAGATACATCTGGTCTCAGTTTGCTGACTTTTCTTGGCAATGCTTCCAAATTAAAAGGAGATGGGGAAATCTTTGAAAGATGGAGTTCCCTGTGCTAGGCATGCAAACATCTCTTTCATAAGCAAAGCAAACACTGTACCCTCATTCAAGGTGCACCCAGGACTCACCTGCTGGTGACCAAGCACTCAGAGGTCAAGTCCTGGCAGCCGAAGTCAAATGTAGGAACAAAAGTCAGGCCTCTTCAAATGCTTAAATACAGGTCTGGATTTGTAACAATTCCAGGGAAATTAGAGAAAAGCAACTTTACTGGAGCAAGAAGGGTGAAGAGAATGAAACAGAAGTTCTGGCCAGAGAGAAGAGGAATGAAAAATAAATCTACCAGGCTGAGGAACTATATAGCACGTGGCTCTCATCCACTCTGCTTCTTTCTTCATATGCAAAGAGGCTGCAGAATTAGGTTCCCTAATCCAAATGCTTTAGGACTGATTCTCTAATTTCCCTTGGAAATTCATTAGCTTTTTTTTTTTTTTTTTTTTTAATGAGTGGTAATGCTGCTTGCATTTTTTGGTTATGGGAAGATTAAATGAAGGAAATCTTTGCCTAGAATAATCATCGTTACTTAACCTAAATTTATTCCATTCCTCTGAAAATTTGAAAAAGTGCAGCTCTTTGGTTGCTGAAGTTACACTGAAGTAAAACTCAACAATTTGCTAAAATATTGCCATATGAGTAGAAATATTCAGCTCAGAGGAACTGATGTGGTGGAGGAATAAAAGGTTGTTTGTTAGTGCTGGCTGGCACTGGGTTTTAAGCAATACCAACACGCCTGCCAACAAGAAGCCGATAACAAGGCTTTCTGAACATCTTCCAAAGCTTCACAGAAATACTTGTTTGCATAATGTTTTACACTTAAGCTCTTAAAAGTTCACCAGAGAAAAGTGGCTTTAAATCTGTGTGAGCACCCCACACACAGATGTATGCACACAAAGCCGGAAGAAAACTGACATTGAAGGAGAAATTTTTCAAGTTTAAGATGTGCAGATTGAATGTACACAATAAGATAAATGTGTCTGCTCCGTATTCTAATTTCTCCCCCACAGTACACAAATGGTTTAACATCTTGGTTGGATTTAGGCTCCTGGCTGACCTACACTTATGCTTTAGCTATTTCTCAGTGTCTCAAACCAAGGGAGAACTTGAAGCATGAACTTGAAGCACTCTTTCCCTTCCCTTCCTTTCCATTCTTCTTTTTTCCTTCCTGGTAGTACAGTTTTAACTCAGATTTACGAAACTTTTTGTTCCTGTGTGTGATGCTTCTGTTACTTGCCAGCGTAAAACTTGAGGCAGGCAGCTCTCTATATGGTTCTCCTGATGCCTTTCAGTCTTGAACTATAAAATCTCTTCTTGCTCATCTGAGCTCTCCAGGGCTGGACTTTGTCCCTGAAAATTGTGTCTATGGAAATGAAAAGCCAGTTTAGGGAGGTGGGACCATAGCAAGATCTATAGTCCTACAACATAAATTTGAACCTGGATTTCTAGAAGTAAAAAGCTACTGTGGGCAGCATTCCTTCAAATTAAATTTATCCTGCGCAAAATCCTGTTTCCTAAAGAGTTATATCAAAATGTGGAGTGAAATCCTGGCTCTGTTGTGTCAGTAATAGATCTCCCATTGTTTTAATCAGCTGCTTTATTCCGTGCAGGAATAATCTATCTCATCCCTGTATGGCATTTCCAACTGTATGCATACAGTTCTGTACTTGCACAGTAAATCTGATTCAATGTGGCTGCCAGTTGATAACATTCCCAGATGCCTGGGAATCCCAGATAAACATGGATAATTTCAGATTTTAGAAATTCTAAAATTCTAAATTCTGCCAAGACAAAATTTCTGGATAGAAGGGGAAAAAAAGCTTGGGAAGCCCTGGTATATAATGATGTACCTTTATGTGGGTCAGCATTGTCTTATGGAAGACTCAGAGCCTTTGACTTTATACCTGCTTTTGATTTGTACACAACTGAAACAGATTATTTTTTTTTTTTAAGTCATGGCAGAAATGTGGTGTACTGCAAAATGTCCTGTTCCCTGTCAAGCAATGAAACTCCCTGATTCCAGATGGTCCTAGGGCCTGTGAAGCAGCACCAACCATGTCCAGCTGCAGGGGCACCCCTCCCACACCCTTTGTTGTTCTCCATAAGGAATGTGGTAGGAGGCATTACAAGGTGAAGGAAGGAGATGCACAGTGAGTGCCTTGTTTGGAGACCCAGAGCCCAGCCATGTGGGGCTGCTCTTACTGCTCCTGCTAACAGTCAAATATTTCAGCTGGAGCACACACTGTCCTGCAGGCACAGGAAAAACTTCTCTTCTTTTCTGCTAAAGGGAATAACCTTGAAATAGTGAAGATTTTTGTCTGCTCATGGAAAAGTTTCAAGTGCTCATGGGAGTGAAAAACAGAATAATGCAGGTTAGTTTGAGGCAGTGATGCCGTATCAGACTGCTGAAAGAAGGGAGAACTGTTTCTTCAAGGCACCCAAATTAAATTTTTTCTCCCCATATGAGGCTACTCCTGGTAGCTGCTCATCGTGTGACTTGAGACATCAAATGACACATCGAATTATCACAGTCACATTACTCTTGAGTCTGAAGCAGCTCAGCACAGAGATTCCAGCACCTCTGAAAGCTGAGCTGTAGGACAGAAATTATTTCTGTGAACTCCACCAGTGGAGCACTAGTGGAAATGCAAAATTAATTTAGATGTCTGAATTTCTTTTTCAGTAATAGCTGCTGTCCTGGAGGTGAGGCAAGAAATGTTAATGTACCTGTTATAAAGCTGTTCCCCCATTATGTCCAGAGACAGGTGTAAAAACAGACTTTGAAAGAAGCAGTTGGAGCATTGCAATGTCTTTTGCCTGGTAAAGATGGAGGAAAACCAAAGATTTTCACTTACGCCCTGCAGAAATCAGTGAGGACATCATTTCATGGGAGAGAGGGAAAGCAGGACCCAAATATTTCATTGTCCTTCAAAATCACTGTTCAAACTGGGAGTCACTGCTGAGCCTGGAGCAGTGCCCATCCTTGAGCCTGAGCAGGGGTTTATCTTTGACAGTCAGCACCAAGGTCTGCAGTGGAGAGAATTTGCCCCACACACCTCACACACCTCATACTCCTGACTCCCTGAGCCCTGGACCTGATTTCCACCTCTCACACAGAGCTGTGGGCAGCACAGCCCCAAAACCCCCAGGAAAGAGAGGGGAGAAAGGGACCATAAGCAGAAGAAACAGATGAAGTTCACTTTCTGCATCTGTTTTTTATTGAGGGAGCTGTTACTGTGAGTAAAGTCAGCTGAGACATCCCAAGTGATTGCAGCTTGAATTTTTAAGCCAGGCTATAAATATCTGGGGTTTTTAAATAGTGATTATTGTTTATGTTTTCTTCCTATTTACTCTCTTTGATTTAGTAGTACGGGGAGTTTTGTATCACTCCAGCGTTACAGATAACCCCTCCTGCATTACACAGTTCAGGACTGAGCTGTCTGTCTCCTCTCGGTGTTGTGACCCCAGGTGGCTCAGAAGTACTTTGGGTCAAACTTATTATATACTATTCACTATCCCAATAAACAAGTAGCATGTTGTCACATTTGGAGTGCTGCGTATTTTTCTAGTTATTATGCCTTATTATATATTTACTATTCAGAAAATGCAGGTGTGGGCTGTTGAACTGGGGCCAATGAGAATTCGCCAAACTGGCAGCAATTGCTTGGTGAGTCATGTTTCACTGTCTGTTGGTTTTATAACTGTTTTCACTACTAATTTAGCTCTGCAATGCAATATGCAATTAGTCCTATTATGGAAGCAGCTGTATTCAGTTTTACAATGGCACTTTCCCCTTTGGCTTGTACCAGAGCCTGTTGTGGTTCTGCTGATTTGATGACTGAAGTTGTAAAGTGGTATCTGGATGAGCCACAGCAAGCCATGAGCCTCATACAAATATGATTCTTCTCATACACCACTGCTCTAATGCTATTTCGTACAGCTCAATTAGAAATGCGGTCACAGAGAAAAGCTGTTTTCTTGCTACAGTAAGTAGCATTGTCATGCAGTGATTTGTTGCCTTGCTGGTATCACCTTGTAGTCATGCAGCTTATTATAAATAACATTTGGTAGCCAGAACCTGTAAAAAAAAAAGAAAAAATTAAGCTTCTGTTTGAAAATAAGCATCTGCTTGGAAATGAGCATTTCCAGGCTTCAAAAATGAGTTTCCTAGCTGTAGCACCTGGACGGTGGCTACAGGAATGAAGTAGGGCCATGTGAGGATGGTGGCTAGGGTGGACAATGGGAGATTTTGAGCTTCAGTCCATGAAGCCCAGCTTGTCATGAAAGTGACAGTGACAATTCAAGCCTTTGCAGAACCACTGAATCCTCCTGGGGTCCATGCCCAGCCCTAAAACACCTAATGCCACTGTCATGGTTGGTCCCTACACCCAGCACTTGGATAACAAGCATGAGCAGCCGTTCTCCAAAATTACACAAGAGAGCAGCCAAGTAAATACAAATATCAATTACACTAATTAGCTGCCTTTGCTGTCAACAAGGACATTATGGAAATCAAATACATATTGCTTATTAGTTTAATGTGTACTAGAGCTACTCTGTTAAAAAGAGCAGGGTCTTGAAAAATCACTGAGAACATTCGCTACATTTTTTCTGCAGTGTTATTACCCATTTTCACACCCATACATATGTTCTGGTTTTGTTGTGTGTCACACAAAATGGTAATTTGGTGGTGAAAAAATGAGAAATCATGACATTTCACATGTGTTTTTAGTAAAACAACAATTTTCTTCCTAAAGGGCCCCAGTTTTCTTTCTCAGAAATAGGGCTATTTACAATGAAAATGTTCCTGTTGTGGTGGAATAATGACACAAAGAAAGGCACCAGGCTGAATACTATGAAGAGAAGTTAAAACACCTCTATTTCCAGTGCTTTGAATGCCAGGTGGGGTGAATTGAAGCCTCTAGACCACCACCTGGGAAACCAGTGCTTGCCAGAAGCAGAGCTGGCCCCAGCAAGAGCCCATTCACACCAGGATTGTTTCTGGCCACTGTTGTCCACAGTTATCATTCTGGTCAGACTATTACAGCAGAAACTATTTTGCAGGAACTTTTCGCTATGAGAAACAAATCAAGTCTCTGCCCTGCAGAGAATAACCATTTGGGAGAGCTGGACTGATGGAGACTTGGTATTTTGCCCAGAGCTTATCATTTTCTATCCAGAGGCTGGCTTTATGCTAGAGCAAACAGCTGGAGTTGTGCACTATATTTCATTGCAAGCATGTAAAACAATAATGAACTTTATGGTTCTATAAAGATTTGCAAAATTATTCCCAGGTCTAAAGTTTAATTGTTTAATGTCACCAAATGGCTTTGCAATAACTGAGCACTGTGGAGTGGCAGAAGTTAATCACTCAACTGAAGTGAATTAAGATTTTCTAAAGCTACATTTATCACTGTAATTTCTGGCTAATTTCATTTTCCATTCATAAAATATGATTTCAGTTTCTGTATCTCTGTGAGCTGTGGAGAAGGAACGTGCCTGTTTTAGAAGGCATGTTTTTGTCAAGCAATGTCAAAGGTGATGTACATACTAATAACAGGAATATGCTAAGCTCATCTTAGCAATGCATTCCACATGCCTCTGCACTTGAGTCCACTAGCTCTTCGAGACCTCTAGCTCTTTTAAAGCTCAGTGGGCTAAATTTTCAGTGTTCACTTTGCCTTACATATTCTGGCCTGGCATCAGGAAGTGAATACAACAGCCTTGCTTGAAACAAGAGTTAGCCAGGATAGGCTGATTTGCTTAAAGCAAATGCTGCAAGCCAAAAAACCTATTTCTAGTCCCCACTTAACCCCTAGAATAGGTGAGGGATACCTCAGTATCTCCCTTCTTTACTTTTGTTTTCGGATACCAAGAAGAGGATACAATTGCTTTTATTGTAGCCATCTTCTAGTAACCAGAAGTCACATATCATTGAAGAAAGTTGTCTAAGCAATGGCAATAGTCAGTGGAAGGAAAATGGATGTCTGTCTGGCATGCTTTATCCCAGTTATCTCCATTGGCTACAGTGGGAACCCAGGCAGATGTTAACGAAAACACCTCTCTCTGTCAGGCTGAAGTTAACCCATGAACCTCACATTTCCTTCTCAGCTTGCACCCCTTGGAACTCCACTGCTGCTCCAGGCAGAAATTATTTTTCATTGCATTTTACCTAGATCCTGTGAGGGCGGGCCTAATTCAGCTGATGTTGTCAGTGACTGGCCACGAGCATACTCGTGGGAAAATTCCCATACCAAGAGCTGTCCTGAAGAGCTGGAAATCACTCTCCATCCCATTCAGAGGTGTCAAGGGCTCCTTCATCAAGTGAGGGAGTTCCACTGAGACCTAGTCTTTCTGAAGGACTTGAGAAGTATCTCCTCAACACAGGGTGAAGCTGGTAGGTAGAGGAAGGGGAGGCAGGAGTACCTTTGCCTCTCCTAGACACACCTTGAGCCTCCTGTTGAGGCTGTCCTGTTGAGAATCTGGTAGTGTCTGGCAGCTCTAAACCTGGTTTCAGTATTTCACATTAAAAAGTCCCTGGGAAATATGCATAATCCATTCTGCAGATTCTAGTTTTAAACTGTAGGACCTAACATGTACCTAACATGTACCTCACCTTACCAGGTCAAGAAACTCAGACAGGAGCATCTGCTGCACAAGAGCTCTGCAGAGTTTTCTCACTGTCCTGAGTCAGGCAATTATTCCTAGGGAGGGACTGGAGTGTCACACACACCTTTCTCTCAAGTAGTCACTCACCTACCAAGTGCAGCTCCCAACTCACTGGGCTGGATGTCCCCATCACTGCAGGGAGCTATCCCACTGTTCCTGTGCCAAAAACACTCATGGTAAAGGCAAAAGAGACTGGCATCCTTGAGCCAAGAATCCCAGCATCTAACACACACTTTGTAAATTATGGGTTTTGAAATTTTTTCATGAAGTGAATGTATTAAGAAATTAGTCAGGAAAGAACTGCATCACCCACACTTCAGTCCAATCTCAAGACAAAGCACTGAGCACTCTCCTCAGCTTTAGAAGGGGGTGGATATCCATATCTCAACTCTTTTTCTTCTAGTGGCATCGATGGACAAAGGAAGAGAAAATGCTTATTCCAAAGTTTAACATCTCTGTAAAGTTTCCTGCATGCTGCTGAGTCAGTTAAAATGCACCCAAATAAAGGTATCTTTTTTTAAAAAAAAAAAACCTTTCTTTATGGAAGTAGCTTTTATTTTTTTTTAAGATTTATTTTATTTTTAATTTTTGAAATGAGAACATCTCTCACCATCCTCTTGCATGATCCCCTTTACTGTGAGGGAGGTAAAAGGTACAACGTGCTGGTTTTCATTAGTAGTGAGTATGAGTGTGGTTAGGCATATTATGGTTCATATATAGACAACAATTTACACTCCGCTACACAGAGCATGTACTCAGATGTTGTACACATATGTAACAATGCTGTCTTGGCCCCAAATTGCTTCCAGGTTAGGTCGTCATTTCAAGCCCATTTTCTCTGTGTTTTTTCTCTGTTGCATTTTATTGGCCTGGTAGAGATTAGCAACTAATCCAGCCTGATTTTAGCATCTTCTGCACTTGTTTGTTCCAATTTTTGTACCCCCTGAACTCTTCCTCCCGCATACAATTTATTCCCACACATGGCAGGCATGCTTTCTCATGAATTATTTATATAGCTTTGGAAACTTCTGCTTTTCAAATAATGAGAGAAGAAAATGTTTCTAGTGTAGGAGTCATAATAAGGGAGAAATCCAGGCAGGTTGGTGTTCAAGAAGATGGTAAAATGCCCCAAGTTAAAAATAATACATTGCTTTTGAAAGGCTGAGGAAACATCACAATGGCCTTTCAAAGCAATCATCTACCTTCAGAAACACTGCTGAGTGGCTAAAATTAGGAGTTGATATCAAGCAATGACTACAGAAGCTTTCATTTCCCCAGTTTCTCCCAAAGGTTGGGTGGAATAAACTCCCCCATTGTCAAATATACCAATGGCAGCCTTTGCCACCTACTTGCATGGAGGGAGAAGCTACCCCTTCCTCTCCGGAGCTGAAATGATACAGCTTTACTAACAAAACCAAAATTAATAGCATATACTGCAAGAAAATACACTATGTGACACAGCTTCTGTGATGCTTTGATCTTTTATTATTCTGAGAAACAGAGGTAGGCTGTGCTTTCACTTCCAAAACACAGACTAATACACAAAGCAGGAAATACAATATCTAATAAAGATATCTCATTTAGACAGAAACTCGGTAAGAGTTTAAAAAAATAATTCAATTTAAGATGTGTTTTGAAAACAGGAAAGACACTGATGGTAATACTGAGGAAAAAAGAATATGCTAGCCCAGGGAAGGAGCAAGGAATAAAGGAAATACTCATTTTGCATAGGCTTCATCCCAAGATGGGATAGGGAGGGTAGGAAACATAACCTCATGAGGACATTTTATTGTCTGCAGTCAGGAGCAGGAGGAGCCAGCTGCTGCCTCTGTGACACGCTAGCAGGCTGGCTGTGAGCAGGGATGTGTTATTGCCCCAGCACAGGGGAGCAGACGCCGTGGCCAGCGCCGTGGCCAGCGGCTCCTGTGACACACACCTCCTGTCACTGGCTCTGATAGTCGGTGGTGTAGCTCTTGATGTAGTTTCTGGTGGGTTGTCATAGCAACAAGGAAACAGGCAGCTGAAAACCAAGAGCACCAGCCTGCCCTGCCTGCCCACCTGCCTGGAGGGATGGGGGAAGCAGGGCATGGGGCCTGGCAGATGGGGACTGGGGGTGACCCCACCTCTAGGGGCATGGCATCCTCTGCATGGGGGGTCTGAATGCTGTTGCTCACAGACCCACTGACTTCTCCATCCTATCCTTCAGGTAGGATTAAACTTGATGTTTCTCCACTCAGTGGCTCATGCATAAGAAGAAACACTGAAATATCATGACAAAATTGATTCTTCCGAACTTTCAGATGAAATTCAGTATTAATTAGTTGTTTGGCAATCTGGTGATTGTGGAAATTAAATAATTATTCTAAAAGTATAATCCAGTGAATATTTGCTTTATTCACCAGACTACACAAGAAAAGTCCATTAAAAATAAAGATTCCTACTTAATGATTTTCTAGTTCGCCTTGAAATGCTTTGGCATTTTATTTCTACCATTCTGCAACAGAATTATTTGAGACTTAGTTTGGTGTCCCAAGAAAGTGAGAACTACCAAGCTTAGTTTTTTCCTGGAGCCAGCATTTCTTCTGCAGCGTTTCCCAGTCAGGAGATATTGCCCAAAGGCTGACAGTTTTTAAATGGTCCATGTTGATTTGCCTGTCCCAACCTACTCTTTTCAGCTTGTACAGAACACAATACTATGATGAACAGGTTATTTTGCATTAAAAAGCACATTTTTCCATGGAAAGCTGTCCCGTCTGTATTTTAAGATCCCCCTGCCAAAAAACACCACCCAAATATCTTAACATCATTTTTCCTCCTATTGTTGATTTTGGAAACTGTTGGATCCTTCAGATTAAGTTCTGCACCCTCAAAAAAAAATCACTTAGACGCAGAAAAGTGTCAGTTTAAAAAGTTTAATGATAAAAGAGTGAAAACATCCCCATAAAAATTGAGGAACCCACTGATTCACTGATTCCAAATTAGACCTACTCATCAAAGGTGAAAATTGACAAGCATTCTGAAAAGAAATATTTTGTGCTGCTGAAGTTAAAGAAAGAGACTGGAGGTCTAACTCCAAAGAAAGAAATAATGAGTTTTAGGGGATTACAGAAGAAGGGAATGGGGCTGGAACCAAGCCTTTAGTCCTGGAGTTGCATCAGTTTTGAGGTGTTGAAAACAAGGCTTGTACAAAAGGTTAGCATAACTGTTCCTTGCTGGGGTTTGGACTAAGTGACCTGTGAGGTCTTTGCCAAAGCTATTATCAATAGTACTGTGATACCTTAATAAGGCAGCTTTTGTACTCCAATATCTCAGAAAAGATTGTTCTTTTTAGAATGACATTTCACAGCCTGCAAATTCTAAAATGGACTAATAGCTTTGACTTTTGGGGGTAGAAAGATTGGTCTGAAAAGTAAAGGTCTAGCTGGTGCTTGAAACTTTTGAACCTTTATTTGTTGGGAAAGAAATGACTCACACACTTCCCTTCTCAATAATGATGGTTCAGAAGATGTCATTAAATTTGATAAGTCCAGCAATTTATGAACAACAATTTAAGTAAATGGGCTTTGAGAGAAAGCCTTTGAGCCAGCCCACACCATGGGTGGGCTGACATTAGATAGGTAGATACAGCTCTTTGGAGACTCTAGGAATACTCAGATATTCTCTTACAGACAGACCTGAACTCAGAGGTGTATCTCTTTATGGATTAGGGTATTTCTATGTGCATTTTTTAATGGAGGAAAAGATACACAGATACAATTTGTTGGCTTAGAAGGAGAAACTTCTCTCTGCACAGAGAGGATGAAAAAAGAGGAGGAATGGTGAAACTGAATGTGATTGTGACATCTTTACTTCTATCTCTAGTGTCATAGGGGCTGATTTTGGGTTTGGCTGCATTTAAGATCAGCCTTAGGGTTGCTCTAATATACACCACTTCAGATGCCTCCTTAGTCTTTTTTTCTCAGCAACTCTCAGGGCACTGCCACAGCACTAATTCTTGAGACCTTCCCTGAAAATACAAAATTGCTCAGTGTCTCAACAATCACTATGATGATATTTTTCTCCCATCATTAAAGACAAATTTTATGTGCTACCAGTTTTCATAAAAGTGGTAAAAAATAAGAGAGATTAATGAACAAGCAGGTGTGGGTCTAGTAGGAGAGTTCAAAAGGTGATTAGCTCCACGGTTCTTTAGCACTGCACACTGCAGTGTGCATATACCACTTCAGCTGCAGTTAAACAGAGCACCAACGAGCTTGTGGTGGCATCTGGCCCAGAACAAATAGCAGCTGTAGAAAATTTGTGTGTATTTTTTGTCCAGTTCCTTTGACCTGAATATGTGTCTCAGAGACTTCCAGACAGAATCAAAAACTGTTTCACTGTCAGGTAGGCATACCACACGTAGCCTGTGTACTTAATCCTGCATTCCTCCTGCATTCCAGGCACCCACAAAGTCAATGAGAATTTGAGATGCAGAGTGAACACAGGACCAGGTACAGCATTTGAATATTTTAAGGAATGTTCTTGGATTTTTACAGTTGATGTCATGTTTTCTAGCCCATCAATATGGATTAACAATGGTCCGGAGCAGCAGGAACTCATTTCCTATTCATATATGCTAATTGCATGGTGCCAGATAGCAGGGATTTCTTCTTAAACGCAAAGTTTCTTTTTTTTTCCTTTTTTTTTAGAAAATGGAAAATAGAAAGACTGTGGCCATGAAATAAAGAAGTGAAGAGGATTTTACACAAACACTAAAATATTTGGTACTTCTAAATATGTACTCCTTACTTAAAGGAAGCAAGCCCTGAAGTCCTCTCATATATACTTCCCATAGGTGAAATCCATCCTTCCTTAATCCGAACCCCAGCTGACTTTGAGGTAGATCATGTAGTGGGGCTGAACCTACCTGGACACCCACTGCCCACCAAAGCCACTCTGTCTGGAGGAGAGAAAAAGTAACAAAAGGCTGGTGAGTCGAGATATGGGTGGGGAGAGATCATTCAGCAGTTACGGTCATGGGCAAAACAGGTTTGATTTGGGAAAATAGGTTTAATTTATTACCAATCAAATCAAAGTAGGATAATGAGAAATAAAATCAATTCTTAACACACCTTCCTCCACTTGTCCCTTCTTCCCAGTCTTCACTTTAATCCTGAATTCTTTACCTTTTCCTCCCCAGTGGCACAGGGGAGATAAAGAATGGAGGTTGAGGTCAGTTCATCGCACACTGTCTCCACCACTCCTTTCTCCTCACACTTCTCCCTTGCTCCAACAAGGCAACCTTCCCATCAGAGACAGTCCTCCATGACCTTCTTCAACATGATTCCTTCCCAAGCATTTTAGTTCTTCATAACTGCTCCAGCACAGGGTCCCTCCCGCTGGGTGCAGTCCATCAGGAGCAGACCCAGGGTGGGTCCCTGCAGGGTCACAGCTCCTGCCAGCACACCTGTTTCAGCACGGACTGCTCTCTCCTTGGGGCCACAGGTCCTGCCAGGAGCCTCTCCTGTGCTGACCTGGATGTCTGCAGGGCTGCTCCTCTCACATATTCTTGCTCCTCTCTTCAGCTGCTGTTGTCCAGCTGTTTCCCTCTTTTTAAATATGTTATCTCTGAGGCATCATCACAGTGGTGAGTCTGTCTTGGAGCTGGCTGGCTTTGCCTCCATCAGACACGGGAATCTTCTGGCAGCTTCTCAAAGAAGGCACCCCTATCACCCCCTGCTACCAAAACCTTGCCACACAAACCCAATACAGTCTGTTAGTCCCATAATTTATTTTTCTTTTTATGTTTCAATATGTTACTACATATTTTGAAATTTATATGGAGGCAATTTTTTTAATAGTTTCTCACTTACATATCACTGGAGCATCTCACATCTTCAAACAATGCATGAAGTAGTACAAAACCCACTTGCTGTATGAGACAGAAATATATACAAAGTGTGTTCTGTCTTTAAATCTTTGAGATTTAAAACATAATTATTTTGCAGAATACTTTGTAAAAAGGTATCCTGTCTTTGCAATGAAAGATTATGATAGCTGGTCCTTTATTTATGCCAGTTTTAGCTTGCTTCTCATGCGCTAGGCAGAATTGATTTCTGCTGGATATGATACAAATTTTTTTGCTGATACTGTCTGTTGCTGAGAAAATAGATGGGGGTGAGTTGTTTCTGTTGGCATAGGCTTTCAGCAATGATGTTTTAAAGGCTTTGGAAAAAAGGCAGTCAAATGCTGGAAATGGCATTCTAGAAAAGTGATCGATGCCTCAAGCCTGTTAGTGCTAAAGAGGCATTTGGATAATGACCTTAATAACATGTTTTAAGGTTTGATCAACCTGAAGGGGTCAGGTACGTGAAATAGATGATCATCATAGATCCCTTTCTACTAAAATAGTCCTATTCTATTCTATTCTATTCTATTCTATTCTATTCTATTGTATATAATAATGCCTTTTTATTTCCTGTTTTAAATATTTCCATCCAACCAATCTGCAGACTTAACTGGAACTCCAGGATTCTGTGGACAGATCAGTGTATAATTAAAGAATTTACATTTTCACATAATGCAAACAACAAGCCTGGTTTTCTCTCTTAGTTACCATTGTCAGCTAGGAATATCTATCATCATTTTATAGGTCATCACATCATCATATGGATATAGAATCTGTTTTTCACAAGGTCTTTGATTAGATTACTAGTATTAGATTATGGAGGCTTTGCTGATGCTAAAAGCCTATTTACTTATAATTATGAAAACAGTGCCAGCTAACTACTACCACTCTTCACATTTTCTCTGCATGCTCAGAATACAGGTCATGTTCTAGTAATCTTTTCTTTCATGTGACATCTATCACTTTGGTGTCATTCACAGAAGACACTGGAAATTTGGCAGTTGCTCTGACCTGTGTGCATCTCCCAAGTAAAACAGAGTTTACAGGGATGACATTCAGCTTCAGAATTCTCAACATATTTAGGGGCAGGCAGAAGGCTTTGTTTGAAAGGCTGGTTGAAACCAGAGGGTCTGGAAAGAAACCTGGCCTCCTGCTTCCCCAAAGCTCTAGCATGCTGCAGCTCACCCTAGCTGAGGCTGGGACATGCTGGCCCCTCTGCCACATCCTGCTCCCATGGTGGAGGCAGCAGGGACAGTGCAATGGGCACTGGTCAGGTTCCTTCTGCACACTCGGAAAATCTGCCTTGCTGGAAAAATTCCCAGCAGGAGCATGCCATGTATTTTCTGCTTGTGCAGTGTATGAAGTGATGTTGGCATAGGAGTCAAAGCAGGGTAGAAGGTCTGCCACAACCCATGATTTTTAAACTAGAAGAATAGGGAGACAAACACCTTTTTATATACATTTTGGCTTATAGGCAAAGTGAAGGGGAGAAGACAGAGTTTGAAAGGAAGGAAATGTGTTTATCTCCTGCATGAAAAGCATCTCTTAGTACAGCAACATGGAGAACTAATGTGGCCTGGGGCTCGGGTGTCTGTCCGACCCCGGTGCCGCTGCTGTAGGTGTCCGGACAGCGCTGGGCTGTCGGGCTCAGCCTGTCTGGGTCCCTCAGGCTCGGCTCCCAGCCACAGGCAGCTTAGCGAGCACCTCTGGAGTGATTTCAGCTCTAGTGAGTTCAGCTGTTAGTGATTTCTGCTCGGTGCTCGCCAGTTCCTTAGGCAGGCGCAGGGAGATGGAGAGAGGCGGAGGCTGTATGCGGTTCCACAGTGGTGTCCTTTAATTTCAGCTCCTGTGAAGGTGGCAGTGACAGCTCTTCTGCCAAACTGGGTAGAGATGGGGGTTGATATAGGGTACAGGGGTGTTGGAAATTGTCCAATGGCCAAGGTTGAGGAGAATACGACCCATAGCCTTACAGAGAGATAACAAGGGTCTGAATGAGGAAGAGGGGATTCTTTGGTCCAGTCACTGTGACTTGGCACTTCTTCTCTTAGGCAAGTGACCGCCAGGGAGGCCTTGCAGGGCCTCTGGCTGCTACAGAGAACAATATTACTTTTGTTCTCCGATAAATAATCAGAACAACAATTGTGAGGACAATTGGACTTTGAAGCAAGAGTGCAATAAGAATTCCAAATCTACCACAGCAGCTCAATAGCACCAGTGCCCAGGCAGGGCACTGTCTGTTTGCAAATGAGCATTTGTGTTTCTCTGTCTGCATGTATATGTTTGTGTCTAATCCTGACAATTTGTGTTGCACATACTGCATTTCCCTATATTTGAAATAACTTCACTTGCAACTTCTGAGAGGTTATTAGGTGTGATTTTCAAAAGACATCAAACTTTTACAGTGAAGTTCACTTGATTGAGAGCAATACTAGCTGGGGATCAGGCACATCAGAAAATCATATCCAGAAATAACAAAACATTTTTGAAGATGCAAAGTGTATTTTTTATTGACATAACTGTGCCTCTCAGTCTAATTTCTTCACAAACAATTGGTAGATAAATTTCATATCATGCCTAAGACATACATATTTATCATATTCAAGCTGCAGAATGGTAATCCAGAGAAAACCACATATTTTTTTACTTCTCTAACTTCTTGGATTTTTTTGCCTTTACTCTTTTCAATCAGCTCTAATCTTATGGCAAATGACCTGTCCTGCTTCAAATATCTGCTACTTCCACTTCCTCCTTAGGAATTATTTAACTTTATTTGATATCACCAGATATTGAAAGTCATGCCCACAGCCCTGTTTTCCTCTGGCCCTTCATCTTTTCAGTCACTGTTGGTCTTTCAGGGTTTCATTCAGACCATGCACACCTCTCTCCAGCCCAGCAGAATTTGCAGTCCTTTTTCAGTATCCAAACTGAAATACTGTTCTTATCCTCTAGATCCATTCCAATTAATGCAGTGCTCCCTAAACACAGCATTGTTAAATGCTTGTATTTCTGAAGTGTAAATCTTCCAACCTTAAATTATCTAAAGCCCACACAAATTTTTGGGATAAGGGTACAAATTGCATCGCTTATTTCAGTTGCAAACACTTCATTGACATATAAAATATTATAATCATTTTGGTCTCATTATATTCAAAGGTGCCTAAATCTTCCTGGAAGTCTGTGAGTCTCAGTGACCTGTGTCCTTTCCATTCCTTGCCTAGATCTCTGTAAGGTTTTTAGAGATTGCAGGAAATAAAATACGTTCTCGGGTCTAACATAAAAGCATAATGGCAGAGGATTTTTTTGTTTTTCTCATGGACTTTTGAAGTTGGTGAGTGTGTATGTGCAAGATTATTTTTAAGATTTAGTTGGTCTTTTTGCTACTAAAACTTTTAGCTGCACACATTCCTTGTGGTGGATCCCACAGTCTTGTCTGGTATCACCCTTTGGGTCAGAGGTTCTTCTGGACCCAGCCCTGAGCAGTCCTCTGCTCTTCCATTTAAGGGACAGAATCTTTTCTCTCACTTGTGTCAGGAGAACAGCGTTGCTCTGCTTTTGGCTCACCACAGATCTTTGTAATGTTAGTGAAAGGTTTATGTTTCTGCGGCATGGGTTTGAAGGCCTTTCCCTTTGGCCATAATGAATAGCATGGCCTTGCAAGAGACTTCTGTTCCTATGCTATCTGGAGGGAAACCTTCTTTTACTGCAATTTCTTGTGAATCCAAAGCTTGGAGGATATTTTATAGAAGGAAAAAACTGAAAATTAAATATACTACACAAAAATCCTCATTTCTGACTCTCTGTACATTGTTTAAAGCCTGTGGCTGCAAATCATATTAACAGCTACTGAAGAACGATTGGGATGGGCTGGGATGATTCCTTATTCATATTGATGATTCATATATCAATCATCAATATAATGATTCATATTCCTTTTTCCCTCTGGATGAATTTTTTTGAGTGTTCAAAATGGTAGATATATCAAACCGTTATTGAAAAGTGTACCATCCTCCTAAACCAATGCAATGCCCATGAGAGAAGTGGTTTGTCTTTTCAAGTGGGATGGGAAGACAAGGAATGTCACTGATTCCTACAGTAAAGGCCAATGCACCTAAGGCACTTCATCTCTGTGCTAGTCTTGCATCAGCCTTTTCCATTCAGTATTTGGTATCTTGGACAAAAATGCCTCCCAGTAACCTCCTGAATAACAGCAAACTGTGACC